ATCTCTAAAACCTCCTAAATACATTTCAAACGTTCGTTTTCAGTAAAACTTTATATTTTATATGTTACTTTCTCTGCTCTAATTGTATACAAGGTTGGTCAATTTGACTGACCCCGTAACCACCAAAAAAAAATAAATTGAAATATATCTATTACCCTCTTTTTCTTTCTAGAATGACTTCAAATGTAGCATGAAACATTTGTTTATCTTAAATAGCTTTAAACTTGTAATAGTATACATCTATTTATAATTAAATTTTATTGTTTTATTGTCCTTTTGATTGCTTTTTGAACCGTGTCTAACTAATGTTCATGCCATTATAAGTTGTAAATCACTCAGGAACGTGCAGTTCACGTTACGCTCTCAAATTTATTTATCCACGAGCTCCTTGCGTGCCCCATGAAACATTTTTATTACATTATCATTATTATTTATATTATCTAATTTAATCTTAACTAACCTAAAAATATCCCTATTTTTCCATTTTATTTACTTTTATAATAATAAATAAAGAATAGACATGAAAAACAAGAAATAATATACTTACACGAGTATTTTTTTTTTTTTTTTTTGCTGTTGATGACACTTAACCCTATTTTTTTTTATACCTATGCTGTTATTCACTAAATAATGCACCAAAGAACATAGACTAATAACATGAAAAAGTAGACAATTTTCTCTAACTCTCAAGAATTTTCTGGCTTTTTAACTATGCAACAAGAGCTGCTACAAATTCATCTAAGCTAGTCTTTTCTTTTCCCATGGGAATGGGGCTTGTACTCTGAGTGAAACTGGTGATAATCTGTTCAGAACATAATGTTATGCAATACATCATTTGATAGATGATAACCTTGGCTTTCTGTTAGTTATAGGTAATATATAATGAAACATAAGATAGAACTATTAACAAATTCTGAAAGAGGATGTGGCAGGAGGGGTCTGATTTTCTGCTTGATAGCTCTGTAACAAAAAAAATAAAAAAATTGAAGGCTATAAAGATTGTGGTTTGTCTGAGCAACGACAATTTTATCGTGAGTAATTTATGTTTAATTTCGTACTTTTTGAAGGGGCAGTGGATAAAATAGAGAAAAGATGCCTAGAGAAAATGTCACATTAGGGAAATTCAGGATTTTTTTTATATTGCCTTGTATAATTATGAACTTAAAACTTGTATACTATTGAAATATGAATTATTAGCAAAGAGTTTATGCTATACTAATTGGTATAACATAAACAAAAAGTAGTTTAATAAAATTTTCAATGTAAGACACTAAAACTTTGTGTCATGCACATTAAAGGACACCTGTGGGGATAGGGTTAAAATATAACTAATAAATAATTAACTACAATATAAAAGTAAGACCTAAATACAGTTTAAACTGTTTCTCTAACTATAACATGTTTAGGTAAGAAACAACCATTAGTGCTAGTCAATCAAGCAGCCAGCAATACTACAGTCGGTTACATGTACTCCGTGATAACAAGATAGGGTTAAAACATAACTAATAGATAATTAACTACAATGTAAAAGTAAGACCTAGATACAATTTAACTGTTTCTGTAACTGTAACATATTTAGATAAGAAACAACCATTAGTGCTATAGTCGATCAAGCAGCCAGCAATACTACAGTCAGTTACATGTTCTCCGTGATGACAAGTACAGACAAATTTTAAAATAACTGTTGTTGGATTATAGTGTAAAATGAGCTCTTTCTAATGACTATACTCGTATATGTACATCTATCTGTAGGCTATAAAGCTCAAACAAATCTGTTGAAGGTGGGTGTGGCACCTGTCAAGGTTGAAAAAATTTATTACTTGTTTCTACTGCATTCATTCAGAGAACTTTGAAATGTACAAGTCAAAAGGTTATGGAAGTATCTTATAGTTTAGATGTACATCTACACAACTGTATTATTGAAGATACAGAGTGCCATAGCAGAGAATTTTTATAGCTCATTGGTCACGTGACAATACATCTGAAGTTTTAAGTAGTTTAAAGATTTCTTTTGAAGTAAAGGACTTAAAACTTAGATGACATAACTTCGAATCCTAACATACATTTTAATGTTAATTTCATTCACATACATTGAGAATAAAAGTGTTTAATTAAATTTTGAGTGTAACACAGTGACTTGCATACAAAAATGTTTAAAGGGACACCTGTTGCAAAATGGTTAAGAAGCTCTCTAAGAGTTTTATCTAGCACTTTGTGCATCTTGCTAGGAAAACTGCAACACTAACCAGCAGTTTACTAGTGTTATTTTTTAGCTCTGCTTATGTTTTGAAAGTTGATTATTTTTTGTCATCTGTTGTTAAACTGTGTAGATAGGGATATACTTTTTTAAGTCACATAAAGCTAGTGACATTTTTTACCATTATCATAGCTTTGCTGATGAGAGCTAGTATAATTCAAAACCATAGTTCTCAGATGGTCATTGTATAGGCATTATGCAGTGTATGTTTAAAGGTATTTAAGATAAAATTATCACTTTTATTCAGCATTCATGAATATCCATACAGTGTAAAAATATTTTGAAACTGATGTAGGTATTCATAGTAAGTTGTAATTTGATATTTTTGTTTTCAAATCTTTTCTTTTGACACACAGAATTGATAAAAGAAATATGCACTGAATTTATTGCTTTTAGGTTTAGTTCAGCAGTTTGTATTTGTCAACGGCTGATACAAGAGTTCCCAACTATAGTAGATCTATGGTTACTACTGGCAGGATTGTATGTGCAAAAGTCAATGGATGCTGAAACACGGCAGGTAATTTTTTTGTAATCATGATATGAAAATTGTGCTGTACTTTACACATGAAACCTTGTGAAATACACTTGAACCCATTTATAATGGTTTTATTTAAAGGTTAAAGTAAAACACTTGATATTTAAAATATTTGATGTGTGGGATCCATCTGTTCTTTAATTACCAACTTTTATGAAGAAAAGCTTCATTGATAACAAATTTGTGCTGTATTCTAACTTTTTTACTTTGAACTTGAAGTTTCACAGTTATAAAAATTTTTGAAAGGGTTTGTGGTGAGAAGTAGGAGTGTTTGGAAGAAAAAGTAATTTTGGTAATTCTTCAGTATATTTGACACGTGTTGCTTACCTTAAGGTTTTCCAGGAGGCCACATCCAGTGTATCTTATCATCCTCGCTTATGTCATGCAGCAGCACTGTATGAAATCAGTAGGAATAACAAGAAAAATGCCAAAGAGTATCTGTATAACTGTGCAAAGGAATATTTTATTATACCTCAGGAAGATAGTAGTTTAGGCTCATTTTGTCTCCAAGCTGAAGCATTGTACAGGTGGGTTGTGGCCAAAAGCTGAAAGCTGGTTTTTATTGGTAGTATGTGATTTTCAGTACAGTTCATTTTGTTGTAACTATTTCTACACACACAAAGTTTTCATAACATATTTAGCTGTCACATAATGGGTTTATATTAAGAAGATTGTATAATAATTTGTAAGACTGATTATTTACAACATTTAACAAGTACATTGTACATACAATTCAAGCTTGTACTTTCCCAATTCAAAATCATTCTTGGTCAGTAAATTACTTATGATGTAGTATCGTATCTGCTATCCATTAAAAAAATTAATTTTTCAACTAAGGTATAAAACAATTTAAATGTTTAATCTTAATTTATTTCTTAACTTAATTAGACGACTAATGCTGAATGTATTTAATACCCTCTAGTATATTAGAAGCTCCTATTGAAGTTGTGTATCATTTTTATTCCACATTACAATTAGTCTAAAAGAATATTATTAATTAAACTGTTAATCAAGTGTTATTGAAGTGTGATATACTAGTTTTTTGAATTGTTTTAAAGATGTTATTACATAATTATGTAGTTTGATAATTGCAAGCACATCCTTTAATTGCAAACAAACTTATTATTCTTATTGTGTAATTTCTTATTTTATGTTCACTGTGTATCATTTTAAACAATTTCAACACTAGCCACGCAACTGTAAAGCTCATTTTCAATAGTTGTTTGATTAAAATTAGAAATTGAGAAAATCAGTGATACACCTGACATTATCCCAACGAAATGGTATTTGTTTTACACCAGTGCTTTTAATGACTTGGTAGTGTAGGAATGATTTACCAGTAATGTAGTTCATTTACCAGTGATTGTGTGATTGGTATATAGATATTATATTCAAAACATTGTTAATGTAGTTAGGTATATATTATCACAAATATATAATCTTTTTTTTTATAAAATATATTCACATTTGTTGTTGTTTTGTTTTTTTTTGTAAAAGTATCAATATTATATTTTCAGTGAACTGTTGGGTCAGCCAGTTTTTGAATCACAGCTCCTTCCACAAAGGAACACTGATAGAGAATTATTGGAAGAAGACGTTGGTAGTCTGTGGTTAAATTACATGTAAGTATTAAGAGTTTTAATATATTTTATATAGTCATTTGCCAGAGTTTGGGCCAGAACAATTTTAGATAATAATGACACTAAAAGTGTGTATTATCACAAGATTCAAGAAAAGATACACCTTAAATTTGCTTAAGTGGTCAGTAACTGTACTTGAACGATTGTTTATGTTTTGCTTCTTCCTCTTAGATGCCTTTTACAGTGCCAAGATGTCAGCAGTGACAAGATTTCAGAACTGTTTGAAACAGCTATAGGCTGTGTTAACTCTACATGTACTTCCAGGGAAATATGGTGGGAGTATGTATAATTTTTATGAGTATTAGTTCTTTTAACCTATTTAACCCTATGTTGACCCAAAAAAAGTATATTTATACTACAGTAAATGAATCTACAAACCAACAAAACATCTTTATAAATATTTCACACAACAAATGTACATACACTGCTTCATTTGAGATGCTCATACTTGTCTCCACACCAGCATTCAAACAATCATGGCATCTATAACAGAGTGCCTGACATTCTGTTACACAATCTGATTGGATGGAAATTGCATCTCATCAGTGGCTTTGGGTTTATCTTTAGACATCCTCCAATATCATCTGAAATAAAAAGTTTTGGAATTGTTATTCAGAAGTTGCATAACTTGAGGGATGGATAAATTTTTTGAGTCACCCTATATATGGTTTCTTGGGAAAGTGTTAAGACTTAAACTTTTGCAAGAAAGAACAACAGAATATATAATGATAATAATATTTGATTTTTAAACACATTTTGATCCCAAATTTTGAATGTAACTATATAAAGTTATGACATGCTCACTTTGAACTACCTGTAGCAAGAGGATTAATGAAAATCAGTAAAGTAGAAATTGTCTGAATATGTAAAATTGAACTTTCTGAATTGAAATTCTAAGATAAAAGGAAGAATTCTGTATGGGTTTTTTTTTTTTCTAAAAAAAAATTATTAA